TCATAGTCAAGATCAATGAGTGACGTGAGCTCTCCTGAAAAGATGTCCATCTGGAAGATCTCTGGGATGTTGCCCTCTACAATTTGGTACATGATCTGAGCATTGGCACCCTCATCAGGGTCGGTGGCTGTTATCTGTGCCACCACAGAACCCACAGCACTGTTTTCTTTTACTAAAACCTCAAAGTCATCAGCGGGGAAAACAGGGGCGTTGTCATTCACATCGAGGACTGTCACCTGGATGTGGACAGGAGTTTGCTGAGAGGGTACACCGCGATCAACAGCGTAGGCAGTGAGCTCATAGAATGGCACGTTCTCGCGATCCAAACGTCTGCTATTTCGGACGATCCCGGATTTTGGTTCAATGGTAAAGTCTCCACCCCCATCCTCACCGTTTTGGAAGGTGTATTGAACACGACCGTTGGCGTGTGCATCCCGATCGGTGGCTGAGATTTGGAGAATACTGGTGTAGGAAGGGGCATCTTCACTCACTGTTCCCTGATACCTGGGACTGAGGAACTGAGGAGCGTTGTCATTGACATCATTAACATTCACCTCAACGTATGTCGTGTCTGATTTCTGCGGTATGCCGTTGTCTTTGGCTGTTATAGCCAATGTGTAGGTCATCTGGTCTTCATAGTCAAGCTCTGCCTGGAGCGTTATGGCTCCTGTTGCTGGGTCGATGCGAAATTGTGGGATATTGTCCTCGAGGAAGTACGTGATTCGAGCATTCTCGCCAACATCGTCGTCTGTGGCACTGATCACGACTATGGTGCTTCCAGGTGGCTGGTCCTCGTTCACACTAACAGAGTAATGGGCGCTTTGGAAAACAGGGCGGTGTGTGTTGGCGTCTGTGATGTTGACGTGCACCTGACAGGTGTCGTGGAGGGTTCTGTCTGAGGCAGTGACAGTGAGAACGTAGCGCCGCTCCTGTTTGTAGTCCAGTGGGAGAGCTAGAGAGAGAAGCCCACCCCCTCCCGCCGTGCTGATAGCAAAGCGGTTTCTGGTGTTTCCTCCTGTTATCTGGTAGGTCACGGCACTGTTGACGTCACGATCCACAGCTGTGACAGTCACTACGCTGGTGCCAACCGCTGCGTCCTCGTTCAGTCTGACATAGTACTCCTTTTGGAGGAACTCAGGGCGGTTGTCATTAACATCCATCACTGTTATAGTCACACTGGCTGTAGCGGAAAGAGGGGGCATGCCATAATCCCTGGCCTCCACGCCAAAAAAGTAGTGCTCCACAGATTCTCTGTCAAGAATAGACTTGACGGTGACCCAGCCTGTTGCGGCATTGATAACAAATGGGGTGTCAGAGCTTGTGCCAGTTAGCCTGTACTCCAGACGAGCATTGTCACCAGAATCTGTATCAATGGCCTGGATGTGGAGGATTGAACTACCAATCGGGGCGCTCTCAAGCACTGATGCCTGAAATGGTGTGGAGACAAAGATGGGCGGATTGTCGTTGACGTCTGTCACTTGGACGCTGACAATCCCAGTGTTGTTAGAAAGGGGTGGCCGCCCGTTGTCCTGTGCGCGAACGCGGAGCGTGTACTCTCGTTCGGCCTCATAGTCTAGTGGTGCCACCACCTGGATCTCACCAGTGACGCTGTCAATGGAAAACTGCCCACGGCTGTTGCCACTGATGATGTTGTAGTGAACAACAGCATTACTATCTTTGTCCCGGTCTGTGGCGCTGACACGGAGAATTTCAGAATGAGGCCTGACATTCTCCTTCACTGCCACCACATAGCGTTTCTCACTGAACTGTGGCACATTGTCATTTTCATCCAGCACGGTGATGAAAACTTTAACGGTAGCAGAGCGCGGCCCCGGATCTTTCCCCTGGTCGCTGGCTTCCACCTGCAGGGTGTAGTGTTCATTCGTTTCCCGGTCCACTGACCCACGGGTTGTAATGAGGCCAGAGCGAGGGTCAATCTCAAAGGCCGCCCGTGCCATTGTAGCTGAGTCACCAACAAACCGGTAACGAATATTGGCATTGGATGGGGAGTCTGAATCAGTCGCTCTCAGCTGTAGTATGGGATAGCCTTCCTCCACATTCTCCCTAATCGTCTCCCTGTACTCTGACTGCTCAAATATAGGAGAGTGATCATTCCGGTCTGAAACAGTGATGGACACCATTGTGGTGCCAGAGAGGCGAGGGGAGCCATGATCAGTCGCCGTGACCCGGAAGTAATGTAGGTCCATATGCTCTCGGTCAAGAATCTGAGTGGAGGTGATGAGGCCGGTGTCTGGGTGAATGTGGAAGTAGTCGGATGATCGACTGTTCATCAGCGGGGCCATTGTGTAGCTCAGCTTGCCTGCATCTCCTCCATCTGGGTCTGAGGCGGACATGATGATCACTGATGTGCCAGGCGGCTGGTTTTCAGCCACATGTACTTGGTAGGTGTACTGGGAGAAATGGGGATGCCTATTGGCTGCACGTTTCGAGCGAGACCATGGCATGAAAATCTTTCTCTCAGTCTCTCCCTGTGAGGTATCATCATCTGCTACGATTATCAGTTGTTCCAGGCTCCTCTCTCCCATTGAGCTGTGCTTTTTCTTTTCCTTCCCCTCCACCTCCCCTCTGCCTCCTCCCTGGTGGCTTTCATCCCCCTGGCTTTCTTTCTTCCCTATTTTGCTATCTGGCTGTGTGATGGTGGTGCTGCTGCCCCTGTCCTGACCCTTCTCTCCCTTTGCCTCATTCTCCTCTGCCTGGCTTGCCTTTGTTATTCTCCTTCCCCTCTCCCACTCCTCCTCCTCCTCTGCCCCTGTTTCTCTCCCTCCCATCAGCCGCGCCTCTCTCTGGCCCTCCCCCACCTGAAATTTTCCTCCCCAAACAGAGGCAGCAGCAACAGAGGACCCCTCAAAGCCCTCTTCCTCCCTCTGCCTTTCTCCTTTATCTCCCATCTGCCGCCCCGTTGCCTGTTTGACACCTTCGGGCTCTAGTGGCACTTGCTTACCGGGTTTTAATTGCATATGTGCACCGTCCTCGCGCGCGGTAGCTGAGCAGTCAGTGGAAATGCTACCAGAGCATCCTGGGTGAGCCATCGCTCTCTGCGCGCTTTCCCACTGCGTTTGACCAGGCCACAGCGAATTTTCTATTTCAGACTCATATCTATTTCCCCCGCCGCCTCTCTCTTCTTCCTCATTATTATTATTATTATTATTATTATTATTATTATTATTATTATTATCATTATTATTATTAGTGTTGGACTTGCTCCACAAAAACACGCGCCCAGCGTCTAGAGGAGCTGTCCGTCGTGCTGAAAGCTGCTCTACACGGGGGGAGTGTAGCGAACGCGCAGACCATGTGGTCAGGTTAACTGCAGAGACGAGCGACAGGTACTCTGCTGCAGGCTGCACTGCTGCTTCAGAGTGACTGGGAGATGTAGCGGGAAACTCAGCAGGCGAGGAAAAGCCTGAGTCACCGGCAGACTGTGTCTCTGAAGTTGCTCTCACTTTTCCAGCAGACAGACTGAGCGCTGTGACTCGTCTCCCACTTTCCCAGCTCTCGTCTGTTTCTGTTTGAGTGGGCGCTGTTTCAGTAACTTCAGAGCCAGAGTATTCAGAGTATTTTGACGCGTTTTGGGGGACGGTGGTTTTGTTGGATGGGGACTGCTGGCAGGGCGTCTCTGAAATAATGCTGCTGAGGGCAATTTGGATGAGGCGCTTCCTCGGAGCTATGCCTCTCTCGGGTGTCGTAAATTCAGCTAAATATCCACCCCCCATTTCTTCTCTGTCTAAACAACCAGAGCCACCACTGGGACCCACACTGTCCGCCCTGCTCTCTCTCCGGGTTTGACTGCTCTGCCCCTCGGTTCCTGGTGCTGATTTCCCCCGCTGAAGCTCATTATCAGTACTACACGAGAGCTTCAGTATCAGAAAAGCCAAACCATTATCCGGATAATTAGATAAATGAATGTGTTTGCTGCTGTGGCTCATCCCTCCCCCTCTCCCATCATTTACCTCTCTTTCCTTCCTTTCATGAATAACTCTGGCACGCTTAGACCTTGCTTCACAGAGAGGAGGTAACCAACAACCTAGATTGCTAATCTCCTCCAGCGGGCTACACCTGTACGCTTCCCTCCCCTCATCTCCCCCACCTCTCGGCCCTCCCCCATTCTCTCTAATGCACCCCGTCAAACCGCTATCGTCACCCCTCTCCCTGCTCCTGTTGGGATCGATAACATTATGCCAGCCCAAATGAGAACAATTGCCAGCCCTCCTGTTCACGCTGACTGAGCCATCCCAGCGCTTCGCCTTGTTGCCGTTCCTGTAAACTAGCTGTTGCTGAATGTTATGAAAATTACACACGCAATCCAATTGAGATGCCCGGACACAGTCTGAATTGTTGGTAAAAGTAGGTTTGAATGTGTTTGAAGCATCAGCGTGGGGTAAAATGTATCCAGAAAGAGAATGAATGCAGTGAGAGAAACCAGCTGGGACGAGGCCAGGTGAGGGAGTGCTGGCCACGGAGAGGGGTGGTTTGTCGGGGCACGGCCAGTGTGTCGGGGAGCACCATGCAGCAAGCAGTCTCTTCACCTCAGGAGCCCTCTCCCACACCTCTCCCCCTCTCCTCCCTCCACTTCCGGGTGCCCCGTTCAGGCCAGAGGCGTGCACAAAGGCTCCGGCGGCACCACGTTTGGCGAGGTGTGGTCGCGACGCCGGCCACCGTTGCGCGCACGCTCTAGTCCTTTGTACTGCCCGTTTTTTACCGTTTTGAACCAGCGAGGGGGTGGAAACAGGTGAAGTGGGAGGTGAAACAACGCCCTTTCTGCCCAGCCTTCCTCTTTCCACTCTCTCTCCTCCACCGACGCCATCGGAGTTCAACCTGCTCCTAATACCGGGGTGGAGTTGGAGAGTAGGTGGCGATGGAGCCGGAGGGCCGTCTGCAGTCTTCCAAAACGTCCCGACTCCTTTCGGTCCTTCTTTCCGCCTCCCCTTCGCTCCATCGCGCAGATATCCTCTCAGCGTCTCTCCCGCGCGCTGCACTCCCGAGCATCCCTCTCTCTGTATCCGCTCCACGGTCCACCTGCTTGGGCGTAGATTCCAGCTGCCCCTCGGCGACTCCCTTGCCTCCTCGCACTGGTGTTGCTGTTGCTGCTGGCTCACTTTACCGGCGTCTCGATAGCAGAGGCCCGGGGTCCATCTGTTGGAAACTCCTCCTGTATTCACCGTCCCCGGGGTGAAGGCGAACAAAGGGCCGAGGAGAAGCAGGTGGAGTGCCAGAGATGAGAGCAGGAGCGGGGTAAAGCCCGGTAGCGGTGCAGCCATTTAGTCTTCTCCTTTCTCTGTGTCTCCCCTCCTTTCTCCCTCTTCCACCTCTGCCTATTCTCTCTTTCTCTCTCACGAGTGTGCCTTCCCTTCTCCCCCGTTACTTCTCTCTGTCCTTCGTTCCGGCTATGTGGCCAGTTCCAGGACCGCCAGCACCGCCCGACACCTTCCCCCAGGCTCCCCCGTCTCTCTGTCAGCCTGGAGAGTTGGCATCTACCCGCTGTGGTCCGTGGAGCTGGAGGTCTGAGCGTTAGGAGCGGCGCGGCAGCAGCATCTCTCCTCCCGTTCATTCACATCCAACATGGCTCACACACTCACACCGACTGACTGGCTGGCTGGCTCACACACTAGCCTTCAGAGTGTGTGTGTGAGTCCGCATGTATGTGTGTGCGCGCTCCTCTAGCAGTGGCTGTGGCAAGCTACTATCCACCCATCCACACACACTCACACAATCACGCTCTCCTCCTCTCTCCTTTTCCACCCCTCCCCCTATTGCTTGCATCTCTATAGCCCCTCTCTCTCTCTCTCTCTCTGATAATGGTTGGCTCCGGTGCGCAGGGCTGTTACACAGCACCCGCGGCGGTCGCCATGTCCACAACTGGAATATGAGCTAGAAAAAAACCCTTATCTTACACAATCTCGCCGTCATCGCCGTATCAGCTGCCGTACTGCCGTCCTAACACATTTCCCCCCAGGTCTGTCACCTTTCACCTTCTAGGACTTCAGCAATGAAGTCCTAGAAATTAGACTTTGACTTTATTTTTCATGCTAAAAAAGAAAATTTTACACGAGCAGTTTTGGATGGATTATAGAAGAAAAAGTAATTTTTAGAAACTTTTACTGCAAGGGGAATGACTGTTCAGTCTAGTCCTTCTGTAATAAATCATTTTGCTTCATTGATATATTCGGGATGTTTCATTTCCTGGAAATACATCGATTTCTCAGTTTTTTCTTCTTCTCCATTTGCATGTGCTTTGGTCTCACCCGGTCAAGCAGCATCTTATATTCTAGTGCGGTGATGTAAGCTTAGGTTAGCTCAAGGAAAAGTGACGTCATCTCTCTCTTGCATCCACGAGTAATTCACAGATACACACACACACTGAGAGAGAGAGAGAGAGAGAGAAAGAGGGGGGAGTCCCTGAGGTGTCACCTCCACTTTTTACTCTAAGATTATTGTGATGATATCAGTGTTAAAGGCACACGCGCGCAATCCGACAACATTCCTAATTTAACACTAATTCGCTCATGGTTAAATGGGCAGATCCATTTCCTCATACTTATTGAGAAAAAAAATTATGCAAATATGCTGGCTACAAATTTCCCCTATCTACTCACCATCTTCCCATTCAGTACCAATTTGTAATGCCGGCTGGGTGGTGCAGTTTTTCTAATGACACGGATGAAGCTGAATGTGATTTATTCCTGTTGATGGGAGGAGATGCACAAGGCGTGTCAGTCTGTTCTGGCATCAGCGCCCAGAAAAGAAAAAAAAAAAGGCATCCAAAATCTGAGCCCTATGGTGCTGCCAGCATCTGTGGATGCATGCGCATTCACACGTCCTTGCGTTCCTTGAGTCTGTATGTTACACTGATTTCTATTACATTTGATAGAAGGTGATAGAAAGATGAAGGGAAATCCTCAAACCGGAGCAATTCTTTCATTTCTCATTCCCTTGAGGTTTTAGTCGTGTAGTCTTGTCTGACTCAGTGGCTCTCAACATGGTATGAAAATAATTTTTCCACCAGTTGAAAAATATCCTGCAATATTAAATAAAATTGCACATGTGCAGATGGGGAATGCTTACCAAATAGCATATTAAGTCACCTGTGTGAGACATCCTCAATTCAATTCTTTCCAACAGTCCAGCAGCTGGTCTTCTCATCTCCCAGATGTTGTTTAAAAAACAACAACAACAATGGCCCTGCTCCAACTTTTTTGAGATATGTTACTGCCATCAAAATCAACATGAGCCAATGTTTTTCTTAACATGATAATTTTCTCCACATTAAACATAGAATACTGTGAATAAAATGCAAGTTTATAAGATTTGCAAGTCAGTTCATTCTGTTTTAATTGGCATTTTGGGCAGTGAGAGTGGGAACTAGATTTATTTTATTTTGCAAAGGAATCCCTGCCCTAAAACGTTTGAGGAGCCCTGGTCTTAGCATGCAAAATGTAAAATGAGAATCCACCCTTACACGAAGCTCAGGCATAACTGAACCTCCTTTTTGATTTTTGTTCTTATTTAACTAGACAGCATTTAATATATTGGACTTTTATAAGGCAACTGGAGAAATGGGTGTTAAAAATGATTGACCAAAGGTAAAATAGAGATATGATTTATTTTGTGATACTAGTGAAACAGCTGTGTCAACCATCTATGTGCATGCAACATTGTTTTCCAATTGTTCTGACTTACTGTTATTATTCAGTTAGAATACGTTGTACAGGACGTTACATTCAAAGTGGGCATGACGTAAAATGATTACACCTCAGTTATAACAGACACACACAAACACACTGGTCAAATATCGTAATGAGCTGTCTTTCCTCTTTAAGCTGAGATGTAACCGCAGCTGTGTAAATCAAATACAAATGTCACAGATAACGTTCCTGCAGTGAATGTGGGTTTATCCGTCTGTGTGTGGCTCAGTCAGCCTGGAGCCTTGCCTCTCTTTTTCTTTCTTTCCTTTTGTCCTCAAAGCTGATAGAAGCTTGGAGCACCGCCACAGCAATATGGTACTCCAAAATGCATATCCTCATTTTCCAGAAAAGATTTGGATGCACTAAAAAATAAACAAAAAAAGAAAAGAAAAGTCCTCTCCCTCCCTCTCTGGGTGTCAGCAGCCTGCCTCCACCCTCGCGCTCTGTCCCTGGGATTTGCTGCCATTTTTTTTTCTGTCGTGCTTCCAACATCCTCGCACGCCAGTGTCAGTGAGTGTGATTACTGTGGAATGTAGGTTATTGTGGCGCAGGCTGCCGGCGTTAACAGGATTTGGAAGGGGTACGTGTCGGGGGAGCATGAGGATGTCTAGACAAGTTGTGACTAGGCAGCGTGAGAAACAGTGTGACAGGTATTATGCAGTTTACCCATTCAGCAATGACAGTTTAGATGTAATGATAGCTTTTTCAGAAACACTGCGGAAGCTTCTCTTTGCTACCCGTCAGTGAAGGTCAGAGGTCAAAGTGGCCCATGGCGCACTTAATCAGGGCAGGTGGTTGCCGACATGGGAGACTGAGCCT